TGCACAGGATTACTATTTTTTTTTTCTTTTTTTAATATTTGGGTGGGATGATATTTTTATTTCTTAAAAAATTAATATTTCGAGAGATATTTTTGGAGGAGGTGTCAGTTGTCACGGTCTTCCAGGGCTTGTTGTCCATGGCGGCTTGCCATGGCAAGCCAAACCCTTGTTTTCATTTTGTTTTTACTTTTGTAATTTTAGGGCATATGACGCCTCTCATAATGTACTATAGGGATATGACTAGTTGTCAACTTCTCTTTATCCAAGGTTATATATGCTAAGCCGTTGTTATCTCTCTCTTGCTTGCTTATATAACGGCTCTTTCAAAAATGTCTCTCTACCCTCGTTTTCTAAAACCTTCTTTTAAAACCGAGGCTAGAGGCTCGATCATATGTCGCTTAGCCATAGGCGACGCAAGAATAAATTGGCTTAGCTCACTTGTCGTTGGAAAGTGAATGCCGCACAATCGCTAGTCTGCTGCTTTCAAAAGTGCAATTGTGTCACCAGTCGCTCCCAGCTGTTGGTTTTTTGACTGTCGATTATTTTTTCTTGTCTTTTTTTTTTTCCTTGGTTTAAATTAATAAATATACTCCTAAATTTAATATTTAATATTTAATATTTTGTCCAAAAAAATATCTTTAAAAGTTAAAAAAAATCTACAAAATATTATTAATTTTAAATGTCAATAAATACTATTAGAATGTTTCAAAAATACTTTTATATTTATCAATAATGCTTTAAGTTAAAAATATATATTTAAACCACTCTATTTTAAAAAGCTTCATTACTGCTATATTTACTAATAATACTAAATTTTAAAATTTTTTTATTATTACTATATTTACCGTTGAAAAAATATATTTACAATTAATATTATATTTAAAAAATATCAATAAAAAATAGAGGAGTAGCACTAATATTATTTACTTTTATAATTAAAACTTTTTTTAAAAAATATTTTTAATATATCGAAAATTATTTCCAAAACTTTTAAAATGTAATATTAATTATGAGTATTTTTTTAAATGTAATATAAATTAGGAATATTTTTTAAAATTAAAACTTACTGATATTATTGGAACTTAAAAACTTAGAAACAAATATATTTAAAGTTTATTTAAGAAAGTAAAAAAAAAAATATATATATATATATATAAGTTTTAAAAACTAAACTACCATTGAATCAAAATTTTTGTATATATTAAATAAAAAAATTTAAATCTAAAAAAATTAAATAGTTATCAAAAGTATACCTATAAAAATTACTTTTTAAAAATCTGTTTTATTTTATTTGATCAACAAATAAATTTTTCTTAAGAGATTTTGTATAAAATACAATTTTAAAAAATTAAAAATTAAAAATTAATAGTTATTAAATTGGCCTAAAAGTATAATTTTAAATTTTGTTTAATAGGAAATTAAAGTGTTAAAAGATAAAGTGTATTTCTTTTTTTTTTTAAGGTAAGTAAGATAAGGACTAAATGGGATATTTGAAAAGCATAGTTGAAAACTTTTTTTTTTTTCAAAAATAAATTTATTTTTTAATTAATTTTGAGATAAGCGAGATAAGGAACATTACGCCTTTTAGAGTCTGCTTCTATCCGTGACCTGCTCCTGGTGTAGTACAAAAAATCAATAAGCAAAATATTTGCAGGCTTTTAAATTGTGCTTTTGATAGGTGATAAGGTACAATACTCTATTTGAACGACGAGGGACTTGACATTCATTATTGGCTTAGGTTCATGGCTCATGGTACTTAGTCAACTTGGTAACTACTCCTACGTGTCTTTAGACTACTCTTTTAAAAGAACAAAACATTTTTTGAGGCAGTAGTGGCTTGTCTATGGTGCCTTCTCTAGAGTCAGCTCCCATCTCTCACTTGTTCCAAGTTATCTGAAAACATAGAAAACATGGTGTGAGTATAAAAACTGGGTGAACGTCCTGTTAAGCATACTACGTGACATCCCATATAGATGAGGAAAACATGGCATTATACTAGAAAAACATGGTGCATGGTGTCACAACCTTACTGAGAGAATGTAGGTTGTGACCCCACATGTATGATAGGAAGAGGCGATGCTCAAGTTGCTTCAATCTTGTCATGATGCAATCAAGAAGAACAACCCGCCAAATAAAACTTTTGATAAGATTCGAAATGAATGGGAGATAGGAAGAGGCAGGAGGAGGTGGTGGATGGATGGTGGGACGCACGTGCCTTTTGAAATGGGGCCAATAGGCAATAAACAAAAATAAAGGGCACAAAACATAAAACATAAAATAATAATAATAATAATATTCTATGATGAGGTAGAACATGGAAGGCACATTTGCTTCCTCGTCAAAGAACCAGCTGGATCTATCATGTATGAGAACGCACCTTTAGGACCCTTTGTTTTCCTTAATTCTTTAATTTAATTTAATTTAATTTTTGTCAATACAAGGTTTTTTTTGGGTATCATTAGAAAATGCCCTACTTGCTTCACGTGGGGCCCACGTCATCGGACAAGAGTTGAGAATTTGATCAAACAATTTTATTAAAGAATAAAATTTTTAGATCTAAATATTTAAGAATCTAAAAACTATAAGAAATCGCCTCAAAAAAACTTGTTTGAGATTCGAATCACTTCACAAAAGATTTGATGATAAACACACTTAATTTTTGAGTTCTTGTTGCACAAACAACAGCTCTAATGGTGACCATTATTATCTTATGTCATCAATTTATATTAGTTTATTTGAGTCAACACGATCACAATTGACCCATGATGAGAAACGGTCTAAAACATTATGAGTTAACCGGGGTCACTTTGGAATACGGGTGTCTCAAAAGTCACATCAACTCAATACTTAGTCTAATCGAAGTTCTAACTTTTTCAACCTTTCACGTTTGATTTTAATTTTATAATATGTTTTTTAAAAAAATCTAAATCCAATTGGGCATGGCTCTGATACCATGTTAGACGAACACGACTCTCCACAATGGTATGATATTGTCCACTTTGAGGATAAGCTCTCATGGCTTTGCTTTGGGCTTCCCAAAAGGCCTCATATCAATGGAGTTACTATTCCTCACTTATAAACTCATGATCATTCTCTAAATTAGCCGATGTGAGACTTTCATCATCCAACAGTTAGCAATAGATTTGAACGACTTGAGTTGTTAGGTATATGATAACGAATTCATATTGATATTGGACTTTATAAAGTCGGTAATATTTTCATTTTTAAATATTTTACAGATAATTAGTTTAATATTTATAATTAATTTATGACATATTTGGTAATATTTTTTTAATCCTCACTTTTTTAATATATGGTTGATTTTTAATTTTGATTATATTAATTAGTGGTTTAATTAAGAGGGTATGGGTGGCATAACAGCATAATTATCATACATATAAATATTCAAATGTGTGTTTTTAAAAAATCTAATAAGTTAAAAATGGTCAACTTAATACTTATGGTATTAGAAAATTCAATAAAAAATGTCAAATTTAATTGAAGAATCAGACAAACATGATTTTGAATCTCTATTTATTTATTTTTATTTATGTCTTTGTCGTCCAAAATCAACCATCAATTAACAAGTTTATTATTATTATTATTATTATTCATAAAAAAAAGGTTAACAATGTTGGTAAAAGAAGAAAAAATTGTGTTGTCGTGGTGCTTATTGTCACACCAATAAAATGAAGAGGGTAGATTGTGATTCTCACATTGCGACAAGTAAAACGACGACTCTCAAGTGGAATTCATCTAGCTACACAATGGCTAAGATAGACGAGTGTCATAATGTAACCAAAGAGAACAGTGTATTATCCAATACATCACGTAGAGTGGGCATTGGAGTGAGAGATGAGATATAAGCAAGATAGGGATAACAAGTAGACAAAAGTGTCAAAAGATAGGCTTGTTCGAAAGTTGGGGTTTGAACGAAATTTGGTCATGCAGTTATGGAGTCAAAAGTTCATCCATATGAAATAGGAAAGCTTCCAAATTTGGTATTAATCGAACATTATTTGGACGCTCCACGACTTCGTATGTCTGTTTATCATGTCTACACCTATCAGATAAAAAATACTCAAAATGTACATTAGGGGACGGTATGGTGCCAATTCTCTAACACCCATGAGCCCTATGGCCTAATCAAGCTACCTTGTGTCACACTGAGGGTGAGTGTTGTGATGTGAGTGTCTCGGGCAAGTTTATTTGTTTGGGATATCCCACATTGGTTGGAAGAAAAACGAAACACCGTATGAAAACCTTTCCCTACCAAACGAAGCGTTGAGGGAATACATGCCAACCTTATGATATTCTAGATTTATCACTACAATATCAAAATATTTATTTTTATTCATTTATATTTTAGAATATCTCAATATATATTTTAAAATATTTAAATATTTTTATTATTAAAATATTTAGACTCAGTAAAATTATTATACTTATTTAAAACTAAACTGGGTAGGTTATATTTAAAATATATATTTACTTACTATATATAAATAAATAAATATATATATATATATATATATATATATATATATATATATATATATATATACAATTTTTAAAGTAATTTTTCAAAATATAATTGAAATTGAGTTGAAAATTTTAATTATATTAAAAATAAATAAATAAATATGGTACAAATTAACATTTTATTTTTATTAAAAAAGATTTGAAAAAAAACATTTTATTTTATTTATTTTCATCTTTTTTAATAGTATATAAATGAACTTAAAAATAGTTGAGTTGATTTGGGAAAATTATTCAATAAAAATTGTTTACTCAACCATTAGACGGGGTCTAAATAATATTTCAATCCGACCCAACCAACCTACATATACCCCTATCCAATCACTTTAAACTATTTCATGCATGAATTCGAGAGGCAAATAGTGTTTAAATTTAATTGTACAAAAAAATTTCAAAAATGTTTATACATTATAGGAGTTAACTACGGTGCATCAGACATACCCATCAATCAATACACAATGCACAAAATTGGCCTTCAAATTCACAGTATATATCACTTACAATGTTTGTACAAAAAGGCTCATAAGATGAAAACATGGGTAAAACAGTAATTACAGCCTGATTATACACACAAACACAGCACTAAATTTTTGTACCACCTTATGCTATAAAACAGTATCATCCCAACATATTAACAGACAATTAACCAAGCCATATTCCAAAACTTTTTCCATCACTTGACTGAGCTATGTTTCGTTTGAAGCTGAAGAAGAAGATGACGTTTCAAAATAAGTGGGTTTAGGAGTAGATGAACAGCCAATGGCTTGGACCAACTCTTCCACAGTCAGAACCCGAAACTTGGGAGGTGGTGAATTGAGAACAATATTATCGACTCGGTGCTCGTAGATTTTACCTTCCTTGTCAAGCTTATACTCGGAGGTCCCATCAAATCGACCACGACTCTCCCATGGAACTCGTGGGATGCCATGAACGGTCCATCGAACCATGATGACGCTCTCCATCGGCTGCCATATGCCTATAACATCGACCCACAAAGCCCTGAAAAAGATCTTTCCATGGAATCGTAGTGCCCATAAGATTGACTTGTAGTTGTCAATGCCAGTGAAAGTGTTGAGAGGATCTTTGAATACAATGTCATCTCTTCGCATGGAAGTCGGAACAAAAGAGGAAAATCAGAATATTACAAGATAAGATAAGATAAAGATAAGATTGAATACAGTAAATGCTATTTGAAAAGAACTTATTACTTCAAAGAGTTGAAATTCCAAGTGCATAAACAGCAGCATCAAATCGTTGCTACGTGGTCAAATGTCAAACCATATCCCATTCAAATCATTTCTAGTGGTCTATTTAGTTCTTGAACTTTAAAAAAGTAATCATTCCAGTTCACCTAATATTTGTCTCACGCTATACGATATGTCAATACTCACATATTTAAAGTCACGTCATCCATCTATTACAAAAATTGGGAGAATAGAAAAGAGGGGGGAGGAAAGCAAAGGAAGCCAAGCGAGATTACAAAAAAGTTCTTCCAATTGGTCGGTAATTGTGAGATCCCACGTTGGTTGGGGAGGAGAAGGAAGTATTCTTTATATGGGTATGGTAACCTCTCTCTAGCAGACGCGTTTTAAAAACCTTGAGAGAAAGCCCAAAGAAGACAATATCTGCTAGCGGTGGATTTGGGCTATTACAGAACAGTACTCTAGTGGTTGAAATGAGTATGAAAAGGCAATTCTATGTCGACAAAGATTCGTCCTTCTAAGCCAAAGGTCCAAAAAGAAAAGAAGGGGAAAAGAAAAAGTTCTAACAAAGTGAAGCCAAAGGCTGTTCTTGTCTTTCTTCAACGGATGCCCCACCACTATAAAAGGAAGAAGGTGATTGTGTCATTAGGAAGGGCAATGTGGCAAATAAACGTGCAAAGTAACAAATTCCAGCAGTTTCCAGCAAAGGGCCAGTTGAGAAAAGGTGGTCCTGAAATTCTAAATCTTTCTTGCAAATGGTAGGACACTCCAGCCAGCAAAATCAATCATGAAGGTAGCCATTTTTTGGAATCTTGTCATGGATGGGTGTTTAGACACCCTTGTGGCTCAGCTCCCAATAAGAATTTTGAGTAGTGGTCTTAATCATATCAAAACATAGTGAAAGAATATGTGGGCATACAAAAAACCAAGCCCACAAAAGGAAGGGGTTGTAGTCTAGTAAAAAGAGATTTAAAGACTAATTACAAAATAATCGAGTTATCGAAGCTAAAAGCCATTACCCTCAAACACTCACCTGCCACAAGAACTATCCATTTGTTATTGAATTTTATGATCTCAGAGTGAGGTTGTTGGGTATCCAAGCACATAAAAACACAATATGCTAATATATCACAATGCCAAAAGTTAATTACAATATAGCCATAGGCATTTGAGAGGGTTATCTCTCCCCCAAGTCCCATAATAGACACTCCACTAAAATGATCCACATTATCTGTGGTCCCTAACACCCCTTATTCAATAAGATGTTTCTTTTGCCCCTTCTAGGGGATTGAAAAATAAAGAAATAGTTAATATAATCAAGATAATACCATCTCAATTCATCCTATTTCATCAGATCCGAGATGTGATATGGTTCCAAAGGATAAACTAGGTATGGATAGTTTCAATAAGACTTCATTCTGGAACAAAAATCCATTTATTTATTTATTTCATTTATTCCATGACCAGAAGAGGAGGGAATACATGTTAAACGACGATTTTGAATCAGGAGAGAGATTTCAAGAGATGGTAGATCTATTCACTCTATCAATAACCGAGCCGGATCTAGTGTATCATAAGGGATTTACCTTTTCTATTGATTCCTACGAATTTGATCAAAAATAGTTCTTGAATGAGGTATTGAACCTCCCTCGGGAATGATTTGGAATTGGAAGATCCAAAACAAAAAATAACAAAGACACCCCTAACTCATTACCACTATTCCCCTCACTAATATACTAAATCCCCCATCAAATTATAGTCTCTCGATCTAGTCGTAGAATCAACATGGAAACCACAAAGAGCATTAGTCTCTTTTCATTTCATCGATGACAAGTTTTGTTTCTTGTTAAAAAAAAATATAACACCTTGGAGATAACCTCTGATATAAAGAAGGTACAGACCCTTCACTCAAATGAGAAGGGGCTTCACCTTATTCAAATTGGAGGAGACGTTTTCCTTCTTCAGATAAGGAGAACTTATCCCAAGAGCTCATTCATCCCTAAATCAGCCAGATTCCTTCTTAGAGGGAAAATTCATTTTATTAGTATCTCATGATAGTGTAAAGGAATGCTCGACAACTCAACTTGGCAAAAGTAAATTGGCCCCTTCACAAGACACCCTTCCTGTGAGATCCCATATCGATTGGAGAGGGGAACAAATCATTGCTTATAAGGGTGTGAAAACCTCTCCCTAGCAGACGCGTTTTAAAAACCTTGAAGGGAAGCCCGAAAGGGAAAGCCTAAAGGGGACAATATCTACTAGCGGAGAACTTGGGTTGTTACACTTCCACTCAATCGTTGGGATATTAAAACTTTGACACACATAGGAGATGCCTATGGAAGCTTTGTTGAGATTGCCAAAAAGACTTCATGGCGTGTGGAGTTGATACAAGCCACCATCCAAATCAAGAAAAACTCAGAGAGAGGAAGTCTCTTTACCATCATCAAAGATTCCCCTTATGGTCTTGACCCTTGCTTCCATGGAGATTTGTTTGTTGATGCAATAGTCAGTTTCCATGGAACCGAAGCAACAATAAAAGGATTTTGCACCATCAAGGATAGTGAAGTTATCGTAGAAACTTCAGGAGGCATTCTTGGACCATACCCTTGGTCAAACCACAAAGGCACATCACCAAAAGGGACTTCTCAAGTACAGTATTACTCAACAATCTTAGATTTACACATCACCAGGTCATATCCCATAGCCCTAAAAAGGTTAATACAACCCCCACCCACCATGGATCGCCCCCAACTTTCTAGGCCCACTCCTACAAAAATAGCTAAACCCCTCAACCAAACCCATTTCTTGCACCCTCCCCTTCATGGACCCATAGCTATCCCATTCGACCAACCCACCGCCGCATATAAAAGTCCACCTCCCCCACATAAACCAAAGGTCACCAATCCCCCACCCTACTTTTCGCTAACCTCCACAATCTCATCTACTATACCACTTTTTATCCTTGATCTACAAGTTGGGACAGTATCACTAGAAAAACATGCCATCATCATAAAGAACCAAAAAAAATCCTCGTTCCAGGAACAAAATTCTCCACGGTTGACTCTCACCAAGAATCCGATGACAAATATGCATCTAGTCATCTCCCCTTCTCCACATCTCCTCATCACCTACTGCGAGTATGCCCAATCTCTCTGTCTCTCTATCAGTGATTATCCTTGTGAATATAGAGCTTGACACTTTTTTTCCAGAAAGAAGAATAAAACAAGACAAAAGAAATCGCCCCAATATTGGCTAAACTCACATCAGCAATAGCCCATTCAAGTCCTCGCACCATGGCAAACAGAACACCACGTGTATCACGACTATTCCATCTCGGAAAAACAAGCCCACTATAGTCATGAAACATAGTAAACTAACTAGGGAGATTGTTGGCCCCTTTTCGAGCATCAATTATGAGAAATCCAACCAGTCACAATTGGGTGACCACTATCTTTTATTATTATTATCTCTTGAAAGGTCAAAAACTTAGGAGATTGGCAAAAGAGAGCCCTCAACAAGACCTTCCTCCTCAAGTACAATCTCATTAGGGTCATTCTTCCAGAAACAAAATTGAATTTTGTTGATCGATCGATAGTTAAATCCCTTTGGAGTGCTAGACATATTGGTTGGACACTTTTTAATGCCTCAGAAACATCGGGGGATCTTAATAATGTGGAATAACCCAACTTTGATCTTCTCCGAAGTCAACAAAGGTATTTACACCCAAACCACACATATTATATTGGGTAACAGTTACGATTTTTGGATAACGGGGATCTATAGCCCTTATAGATATCAAGAAAGACCTCTCTTCTGGCCGGAGTTACAAGACCTATATAGCCTTTGCACAAAAAACTAGCTTTTGGCTGGTGACTTCAATATCTCTCAGGGGACACACGAAAAATCTAGCGGAAAAGTTACCAGAGGCATGAGACACTTCAATAACTTGATAATAGAAGTTGAACTCATTGACCTTCTCTTAAGTAATGGTCTCTATACCTGATCAAACAGCAGATCTCACCCACCTTGACACTAATCGACAAATTTCAGCTAAAAAAGGTCCCCTCAGAAAATTTAGTAACACTAGTGTTTAAAGACTGAATAAACCTACATATGATCATTATCCCATTGTACTTTCTATGGACTACAATGAATGGCCCTTCTCTATTCTGCCTTGAGAATATGTGATATAACCACGTTGAACTTTTGCCAATAGTAGAATACTGGTGGAAGAACACACCCTTCCGTGGATGGGCGGAGCATAGTTTCATCAAACTTAAAAGGTTAAAATAAGTCTTGAAGAAATGAAACAAGAAGGTTTTTTGTTGTATTTCCACGAAAATAAACAAACTGCTTACTGAAATTGCTCTCCTTGATCAGATGGAGGGCTCTATCACATTAGTTTAAAACTCATCTTGTTGGCAGCAAAGGAAGAGCAATCTTGGAGACAAAAATGTAAAAAATGATGGCTAGAAAAGGGCAACATAAACTCCAAAATTTTCTATCATAACATGGCTTCAAAGAAATGAAAGAGTACCATCATGAAAATTCTATCAACACAAGGCAGAAGTTGGTAAACGAAGATGCAATTGTAATAGAACTTTACACATCCTTATATGCAAATGACGATGCCCTTTATCGAATTTCCAAACAATATTGACGGGAGCCCAATTGACCAACAGCAAGCAGCCTCCTTTGAGGATCCTTTCACCGAAGAAAAGGTAGGACAGCAATGTAGTTCCTAGGCTTCGAAAAAACTCCAAGACCAAATGGTTTTACCTCAGAAATTTTTAAAGATTATGGGCATCAATAATTTCTAAAGATCACGGGAGCCCAATTGACCAACAGCAAGCAATCTCCAAAAAATAAAGATTATGGGCATCAATATTTTGCCGACATAATATGTACCTAAGATTACCCTTCAATGGGAACTACAAATCTTTCTCCTTCTGAAAGACCATTATTGAAAATTATTGAAAAAATAGAAAGAAGGTTATCAACATGGTCATCATCTTATACTTCCAAATGTGAAATGCTCACCCTAATACAAGACACACTGTCCAGCCTCCCCACTTATTACATATCTCTATTAAAAATGCCACAAAAAGTGTCTACAGATATAGAAAGATTATTCATAAACTATTTGTCACACCTTGTCTGATTAAATATCATAAACCTCCTAGTAGATAAGGGAGAACTAGTACTGTTTTCAATAAAAGAGAAGAACAAAGCTCTCCTCGCCAAATGGATATGGAGATATTATCATGAAGACAATGCCTTGTGGAGAAAACTTATAAAGGCCAAACATACTCCTACATCATGTCCAAATCGACCCATCTTTTGCAAAGGGTCATGGAAGTACATAAAAAAAACATCAAAACCTTATCACCAACCGAATTCGCTATAGAGTGAGTGATGGAGGAAGCACATCTTTCTGGACCGACCATTGGACTGAGAACACCACGCTAGCCTTGGAGTATCAATTGCAAAGTAAAACATTTGAAATATTTTTTTAGAGGCTCCCAAGTTTTCAAAAAGAAGTTTTGCTTGAGTTAGTTTGAAATGTCATGACATGCATGTAATAACGGTCTTATATTTAAGAGGAAAAATAGGGGTTGCTCCAACTTTTTTATGAGGTAGTCTCTTCTCTCTCTTCTTCCCTCTTCGCCTGTCTATTTTCTTCCTTTCCTCGGTCAAAGCTTGTTGTTGTCGCTCACCGCTCTCCTTACCATCTGCCACCACATCTCTCCTCTCATCGTTGTCATTACACCATTGCCATCACATTGTGGAAGGGTTCTTCTTTGCAGATCTAAGACAGAAATGTTCCTTCTGTTTCTAACTCTCCAGAAGTCTGAAGACTTCACAACATGGATTTTTACCAACTCATCAATCATAATGCTCCAAGAAACCACATCTGGATGAGACATTTTATCAAATACCAACCGTGCTTCCACTTAACCTTTAAAATTAAAATTGATCTGATATAAACCCATCTCTAAGTTTTCCTTTCCACTCTTCACACCTTTCCTTTGATCCTATTTTGTTTCTCTTATTTCTTTTTGGTAAGAAGTTGCGCTGTGAGAAAAATTAAAGAAAATACAGGCCATAAAAGAAACAAGCACCATAAAAGAACATCTCAGAAACTACACATAAGGACTCCAATTCAACAAAATCAAACCAAGATCATAGTTACAAATATAATATAAAAAAGGCCTAGCGACTAACTCCAACATGAGCTATTAAGCCTCACCAACTCCCACAATGCCAACCTGATACAGTTCCACATCCAAGATCTCCACTTAACACCAAGCCCCTTCTTCTCCAAGACCCTGTCTAAAAATTCCAGTCTACATGGTCATAAGCTTTTTCAAAATTTATTTTGAAAATCATCCCTACCTTCTTACTTTGCCCATAGTCCTCAATGGCCTCATTAGCTAACAACACTTGGTCCAAAATTTTCCTCCTAGCCATAGAGGCCCCTAAGTATTCAAAATAGTCCTAGGAAAAACTTTCCTCAACCGGACTGCCAATACCTTAGCAATAATCCTATAGAAACTTGTGATCAAACTAATGGGCCCAAAATGCTTCATATTGTGATTTGTCATTGTTGTCTTTCTTAGGAATTTGGCACATGTAAGTCTCACTCATACTTGCATCATTAATGTAACAGCCCAAGCCCAAGCCCACCACTAACAGATATTGTCTTCTTTAGACTTTCCCTTTTGAGCTTCCCCTCAAGGTTTTTAAAACGCGTTTGCTAAGGAGAGGTTTCCACGCCCTTATAAAGAATGTTTCATTCTCCTCTCCAACCGATGTGAGATCTCACAGATAATACCCCTCTCAAAAAGTTATGCAAAAACTTTCCCCAAATCCTCCTTGGCACAATTCCAATTATCCTAAAAGAAGTCGATAGTGAGCGCATCCAGTCAAGGAAACTTATTCCTATCAAAGCCAAAGACCACCTTAAGAATCTCCTCCAAGGTAAAAGGGCTTCAACTCCTCATTTTCCCTAACCAGGATAGGACACCAGTCAAGATCTTCCAAGAAAATGTCTAGGAAGCGGATAAGGAGTATGCAACTTGGAGAAAAAGGAAGTAATCTCTTCCTCAATTCCCATGTCATCCTCCACCACCACACAATCAACCTTTCACTAAGAATTGGAAGGTTTGTGAAGTGATGCAAAAATGGAGAAAACTGATCATCTCTCACTCTCACTGTAACAACCCAAAACACAAAACCACTGCTAACAAATATTGTCCTCTTTGGACTTTTCCTTTTGGGCTTCCTCTCAAGGTTTTAAAAAGCATTTGCTAGGGAGAGGTTTCTACACCCTAGTAAAGGATGCTTTATTCTCCTCCCCAACCGATGTGGGATCTCACGATGACTTTTTCCCCTTTGTCTTCTCACAAACCTACAACTACCAACAATTACAACATACAAATTATCGCACCACAGTTCTAGGCTCTCTTCCATCCTGATACATCGATCATACAAGATATACAAAAAAGAAATCTTCACAACAATCAATAAAACATAAGGACAGACATTAAATACCTGTATATATCAAAGCTAAGCTCCCTGTAGAAAAGCTCCGGAAACTCTTCCCTCAGGGTTCGTATAGCATACCCCATATTCACATAATAATTCTGCTTTTCTTCCTCCTCTTTACTCATCTTGGAGTCCCCTTTCAATGGAGTTGCAAACTGTCCGTGCAGCTTTACATACTGATCCCATTTCGAAACACCAATTTCAGAACCTTTCACTTCCGAACAAACCTTAATCATAGCCTTAGCGCCGATCGACCCAAAATTCGATGAAACTCTGAAGCCTTTAACATTTCTAGGATTGGGCTGGCTGATAATCTTCGAGACGATGGAAAATTCCGGTGCACGAGCGAGAAGAGCCATGGAAATACACAGTCGACAGCTAATTCAAGAATTAAACGAAATCCAATACAGAAAATACCATTTTCTGTTCTGGTTTTTCTGTAAGAGCGAACGAAGATGTTTACACCACAGAGCCGATCGTTCTTTAACTGGTGAGAAAATGCGACTACAGAGAAGGAGAAATATCTGGATAGATAAACCTATAATTATTTTGGATAAGCTGAATTATCAACACAATTCACTAATCACCCATTAATCTTTACTAATCACAATTATGTCCACATCAATAAGATGTGTTCCACACACACTATAAGGATTTTTTTTTCCTTTTATTTATTTTTATTGATTTTAATTTTCTTTTAAAAAAAAATACATTTATACTCATATAATTTTTAGTTCAGAGTTAAAGCCTTTTCTTTTCTATATTTATTTTAAAAAATCAGGCGAGTTTTTTTTTTTTTTTTTTTTTAAAT